ACAATGTATCGCATTTAAATACGCAATTGCCTATGAACATCATTTTTCTGTTGATCTCAGGAATTTTCCCAATAATTTTTGTGTAAAAGGCCACTCAGCCGACGTCCCAAAATTATACGTCCACCTCACCTTTATCGATTACTTTTCACTTCTGTTCCACGAAACTTTTTCATTCTGGTGACACATCACTTCTTAAGGGAACAGCAAAATAAAGACTGCTGTTGGATTTTGAGAAAGGGAAAAATGTCGCAGAAACTGTTGAACAACGCAATCGCACCAGATTTGGTCCAGATTCACGCCAAGCTTGAGAATTTTTCAGGGGTTTCACATGATATGGAGCTTAGAAGAGCTCTAAAAGTCTCTCATTACTTTTCGATGGAAACAAAGGCCGTGTTACAGAAATAACATCCATTTTCATCCAACGGTGCTCTGTCATCGAATCTTCTTGAGAACTTTATGCCTCAACAGACTTTTGTTTCATGCATGTAAAGGAATCCCAAGATCATTCTTGATCGGAAAATGTGAAAGACGTTCATTTGTGGCAAGGAATCGTGACGAAAACTGGGCTGATTTTTGCATGAAGGTGCAGCCGAGCCGACTGGAGCAGGGTCCTTTTTCCCTTGCTATGCATGAGTGTTTGTCCGTCTTTCTTTTCAACATTTTCTTTCTTTTAGTAGTGCTCCTCTAAGAAAAAAGCCATTAAGGGAAAGGTAGACGTGAGAAGAGAACACAAACAAATGCCAAAACATATCGGGCAGAAGCGAACCTTACTTCAGTCGGCTGGGCTGCACCTTCATGCAAAAATCAGCCCAGTTTTCGCCACGATTCCTTGCCACAAATGAACGTCTTTCACATTTTCCGATCAAGAACGATCTTGGGATTCCTTTACATGCATGAAACAAAAGTCTGTTGAGGCATAAAGTTCTCAAGAAGATTCGATGACAGAGCACCGTTGGATGAAAATGGATGTTATTTCTGTAACACGGCCTTTGTTTCCATCGAAAAGTAATGAGAGACTTTTAGAGCTCTTCTAAGCTCCATATCATGTGAAACCCCTGAAAAATTCTCAAGCTTGGCGTGAATCTGGACCAAATCTGGTGCGATTGCGTTGTTCAACAGTTTTTGCGACATTTTCCCTTTCTCAAAATCCAACAGCAGTCTTTATTATGCTGTTCCCTTAAGAAGTGAAGTGTTACCACAATGAAAAAGTTTCGTGGAACAGAAGTGAAAAGTAATCGATAAACGTGAGGTGGACGTATAATTTTGGGACGTCGGCTGAGTGGCCTTTTACACAAAAATTATTGGGAAAAATTCCTGTGATCTCAAATAGAAAATTGATGTTCATAGGCAATTGCGTATTTATATGCGATACATTGTCACATAGGAGACTTTTTTCGAACATCTGTATTTCTGAGATTTTGGGAAATTCTTAGGTAGGTGGACGTATAATTATGGGACGCAGTCGATATTTTTATAATGTTCCAAACAAGAGAACATCATCTGTCTAATTTCGGGAGTTACATAATGAAGTTCGATCACCGAAAATATTGTTTATGGAGCGTTCAGGGTTGGCGACCGCACTGCGATTAGGCGGGTAGGCGATTAGGCGATTAGGCGATTAGTCTATAATGAAAAATGTACTTATAGATTGGGCGATTAGGCGAGTAGGCGAATAGCGTAATAGGAGTATTCGCCGCGTGGCGGAGCATCATATCAATAATCCTTTATATCGCACGCTACTCGCCTAACCTACTGCATAATCGCCCACTCTCCTAATCGCTCACTCGATACGAATACTTCTCTTTTTGAATCATCGCCTAATCGCCTAACCACACGTACGATCGCCAACTTATGAACGCTCCATTAAGGCTATGCGAATGCAAATTTTGCTCTCACTTTCCCTTTAGTGGTTTCCAAAATTAATTTGGACGTGGTTGTTTCAGTAAACACATATCTTCCCATACGAATAGGTTTGTATTCGCTTCTATTATTCCTTTTTATCAACATGTTACGTTAATTGAAAAGAAAACGAGGAATGAACTGAACAGACATATCCGTAAGGTCTGGAAAACCTCTGCCAAACTAAAGAATATTTGGCCTTTCTGTGAGCCATGTGGTTTTTAAGTATGCTAATGTATGGCCTATAGAATGAGTACAAAGACCTTAGGAATAAGTCGCACAAGCGCAAGAAAAAGGGATGACTTGGGTGGGACGCGTTACCGCGTCACAATGTCCCACGAGGTGCGCAAAGTGGGACGCGTTACCGCGTCACGCTGTCGTCAACGTGTTAAGAAATATGTGGTAATAACAAGCACAACAATAGAGGGAACTTCGTCAAATTTTCGTATAGAAGTCCTTATATGTACGTCAGCGAACCCTGCCCTTGCGCGGAACTAACGCTAGGGAGAAGAACAAGAATCATCATAAGTGCATGCTTGTAGATTCAACTCTTGCTAATCAGTAGCCTTCTGGAAACATTCAGTTAATGGCCATTTCTAGGTGTGCCGACTTGTTGGATGATTCATATGCTCTTATCAAATTGATCGAAGTTGAAGTTGCTCATGCTCAGAAAAGGCTGTGATCAAACAGTGATAGCGCTGAACACTTTTATCGCCCACTGATGCCTGCCTAACGTCATTTTGACACTTTGGATCACGGCACGATTAAGCCCTGCCTTTTGAAGCTTTTGTTAGTTCATGTTTTCGTGAAGAAGCTTTTTTTTGACAATTGAGTATTGCCAATCACCTGTACTATTCCTTGCAATTATGGACCCAATCGCATAACACGGGGGCATCGTAGTGGCAATGCACTAAAAATCGCGTAAAACATGTCCTTTTTGCTGTAAAAAAAGGGACTAAGCCTTAGGCGGGGAGGAGAGACTCCAGGGTGCGTGAGCCATTTTCATTTCCCCGGAGTTCCTGCCCCTCCTAGGCTTAGTCCTAGAGAATGCCCCCTATATTGCGATAGCGCCCAATTATGTTATAGTTTCTGGATCTGGTTAAGGTTTTTTATTCTATCTGATATTCACAGTGCTCAGTGAATATCGGTGCCATTTACTAGTTGCAGGAAGATGCACTCAGCTTAGCATCAACTTTCTGCGTTTTCAGGTAAGAAATTACCTGCGGCATCGTCTGAAAGCAATGTTGCTGATTCTTCTGTTGGCAGCGCTTTTCTTGACGGTGTTCTTCAGAGACGGGTATGCTCCAAACTTTTTTATTGATTAATGTTTTCTTATTTTTTCTGCTCTTCTACTGATTTTCTAGACTTCAGCCACTGGCTTTTTGGTCCTCCAGTCTTCAAACTTTACGAGCTCATCAGCCTTCGAATTTCGATGAGCAGTTTGACGCTGAGCGGCAGGTTCAGCTACGTGTCGTTGCTATGCACCTCATGCTGAACACAAACGCACGGTCCCTAACTATAGTTGAATCACGTTTTCATGGTCAGCACCGGTTCTTGCTTTGTCACACCTCTTAAAGACAAGGCGAGTGGTCGCGGAACGGCCAGTTCGGCTCCGGTTCTCAGAGAGCTCAGCCATTAGGCCGATGTCAGACTTTGCGAATCGCGCGATTCGCTAGCGTCCGCGGTCGCGTTGCGGTACCAGCCAATTGAGTGATTCACTGGCCGCGACGCGACCGCAGACGCTAGCGAATCGCGCGATTCGCAAAGTCTGACATCGGCCTTATGACAGATGAATGACGGTTTACTCTCGTGGATCTGGTGCGGTTTCAACTAATACCCCAAAGTGGTATGAAATATAAACTAGGGTACTTGATATTCATGGTTTTAGCTTCTAAAGTAGTAATGGCTTCACATTTTTCTTGATCGGTAGAAATTGCATATTGCATTTTTGAGCTTTTGGAGACGTAAATACCTCCAGAGACATCCTTCAGAAGGTAAATTCTTAGAGAATTGATAGCAGATGAGCTGAGCTGTTTTGTACAAGCGGTAAGGAACGCTGTTTTGTGATAAAATCCCTTCCTGGATGTAGGCAGAAATGGTGCGTGGCTAGACATGCTGCGCCACTCTCACGTAGCGTGTGGGATCGAATTTGGTCTCGTTCTGACTCAAACATTGAACTCAACGCAAAGTATTCAATCGTTGTTCAAGGTCCTTTACTTTCAAGGTGCTGGCACATTCTTCTATGAGGTGCAAGGAAGTTTGAATGGCGTTACTGAAGGAGTGCCATAACATCTAGACAGGTGGGCAGAAAAACTGAGCTCAGATGTACAGTCACTCTTGAATTGTTCATTGCACCTACCGGAGGAAAATATCTACGACGAAGTTGATAAAGAGGGGGATCGACAAGCATTCTTGGCCCGTCAGTGGTCCTGCACCTGCATGTATGCACTCCTTCAGTGACGCCTTTCAAATTGTATTCCTCTAGACTACCTGTTCTTTGAGAGGCGGGCACGGACATTCCCATACATTCCCATGAAAATAGCATACATTATACGGTAAGTACGTTGAATGCGATGTGGCCTATACAATGACTTGCGGGGCCAGCCGATGTACAAGTCAGTGTTTTTATCCTCCCAGACAAGTCTGGTACCAATTAACCGACCCCGGAGGGATGGAAGGCTTGGTTGGCCCGGGCGACTCACGACCCAGGATTTGATCCCCGGACCGCTCGCGTGGTAAGCGTGCCACTTGCCACTACACCACTTCCGCCCTACGAGGAAAATCTATTGCTAAGTAATCAAGTAGAAGTTTAGGTGCCATATTCTGAGTAATATCTTTGCACCACTTTTTTCGACTTTCTTCGATGGCTGAAAGGCGGAGCGGTTTTGATGACGTCATTGGACGTATTCAAGGGGGACCACACTTTAGCTCCCGTTGCGGTAAGATTTGGGACTACGTTCCAACTTAGGATGCTCAATGATGTCATCAGAACTGCTCAGTCTTCTAGGTATCGTGTTGAGTGTCTTTAGAGGAGGATTCACAATAAGGACGAAGGTTGAACAAGATGGGAGGGACTTACGGACTGGAGAGACAGGCAGATCTCCTAAGGGTGCGACCGACAGGTTGTTCGCTTGTGTGCCCTCGGCGATCTATCATGGCCTTCCCCGCGGCGCTGTTGGCGCTATCAGCGCGGTACGCCTCTTGCAGTCAAAAGTCTGAGCCTCTAGCCGTTTAGCGAGAGAGCGTTAGCGTTGAAGAGGGCAGCACGATGAGAGTCGCATCAATGCGAAATCAACGGGCAAGGAAGGGTCCCATTTCTCGGGTTCTGGCCGTTTTCTTGGTTTTTCTTCTTTCGTGCATCACTGACCATCTCTATTAATTTGAATGACTGCCTTTTCATCATAAATCCGCCCTTGAATAGGCAGAGGTACGCTTAGCTCGTAAGTGGCACTAGCTGGACCCGCCTCACTCCACGCTGTCGATCGAGAACGTTTCGTGCACATCCCCGAGTATGGAGCAGAAGACGCAACGGTTTCGCTTATTCTCACCACGCATGGATACTAATGGTGCCGAGTCTTCATGACGCTGGAGACATACTTAGTTTAGACGGTAGATAACACTTCATTGCTCATGCTCACACTCAGCACGGCTGCATACTCTTACCCTTTCTGCAAAAGTGTAGTCCCAGAAATTCCACGTTCATGCCAACTGCGAGATTGTTCATATTTCTTTTTCTCACTGGGTAGCAGTCATTTCTTGCTAAAGCAACAATCCCAGTTCAAATTGGTGAGGCAGCGATCGCTAATGATGGCGTGGAAAGTGCGTATCTAGACGAATTTTTCGAGTACACCATCTCATCCTGGGTCTCGGTTGAGGTTGGCGGACCTACTAAGCTGGTATCCGGAGTCGCGATCCCTCCCCGCGGCTTGCAGTGTTTGGCCGGGGCACTGCCCTTCCTCTTCCTTTCGACCCATCCCCCATACCCCCCTCCCCAAACATACTTGTGTAATGTAAAATCATGATTATTCTATTGTAAACATGCTACCTCACTATGCCCTCATTGTGAAAATCCGGTAACAATAGTTAAATAAATGAATAAATAAATAAACCGCACTAATCGATGGGCTACATATCTATCTACCTAAGGCCGATGTCAGACTTTGCGAATCGCGCGATTCGCTAGCGTCTGCGGTCGCGTCGCGGCCAGTGAATCACTCAATTGGCTGGTACCGCAACGCGACCGCGGACGCTAGCGAATCGCGCGAATCGCTAGTAGCGAATCGCGCGATTCGCAAAGTCTGACATCGGCCTATCGGCCGTCCTGCCTGCTACCGTAAGCCACGTGCGTGAGGGCGAGCGCGAGGTATCAGGTCTAAAAGCTAAGATTAGCTGCCGAAAGTTCACTTTGGCTGGTGTCGGAGTCCGCGATTCGTCGCAGGTTTCGCTGATTTTCGCGATTCCGCCAATTCGCTGCTGATAGTGATGGCTGAATGACAACATGCTCATGATTCCACTTGTTTCATATTCAGTGTTTCAAATGTTCAAATGGGGCACTTGCAATTTTGCGATCCGTCGCAGGTTTCGCGCAAATCGCGAAAATCGCGTGAGTCGCGCAAATCGCGAAAATCAGCGAAACCTGCGACGGATCGCGACTCTGACACCACCACTTATAAAACCTAGGTCATTTCGTGCACTCGCGAACGCCACAGCCGCACATCTGTGGAACTTGTGCGCTTACAGTCACCACACGCTGACTACAGTTCTCACGGACCATCTCATTACTGGGCGTGACCGCTTTGATACTGGAAAAATTTTAGTATGTGAATATATTAGGTCGCAACGAAAGTCCTGGCGCATTTCTTCAAAGTCCTGACAAACGGCTGCGCATTAACCTGGAGGGGAAATTTTTTAACCATATACAGGAATGGTAACATCCCTTCATATTTCCGAGTCTCACCTCCTGCAGGCCTTTTGGAGCCTGGAAAATGCCATACGTTTCTACCCATGTACCCACTGACTTCTTTGCGAATTTTGTATGGGACACACAGCGAGCGAAGCCTGCCGCAAAATATGCTCTGTGGAAGTAGGGAGTGGTAAGTGAAAAAACCTGCCAACTTTGGTTCAGAAGGCTCCGCGAAGGAAACTACAACCTCGAAGATGGACGCCCAACGGAAGTTAATTTCGAACGTTTGGAGCTGTTACTTCAAGACTTTCCGCATGCAAGCGCCATGGAGCTGGCAAAGGAGATGCACTGCTTCAACATGGCCACAGGTCGTGTTCATCACATGCTGGAAAAAGTTGAGAAACTTGGTCGATTGATCCCTCATGAGCTGACAGAGCATTGCAAGGAAAGAGGTATCGGGGTGTGCAGAGGTTTTCTTGCAAGGAGTTGCCGTTTCGACTGGCTGGATAATGTAATTACTGGAGATGAAAGGTGGGAGCTCTACGTCCGTCATACCAGAAGAAGACAGTGGAATGGGTGCGAACCAGAAGCCAGAGCCTGTTCCAAAGCAGGAGGTTCATCCCAAGAAAGTTCCTCTGTCAGTTTGGTGGAGAGTTCGGGGAACACATCATTACGAGATGCCAGACAATACCACCGTCGACGCTGAGGTGTACTGCTCACAACCACGAAGGCTCGCGGCTGAATTCGCGAAACGTCGCCCGAAGCTGGACGAAGTCCCTCTTCTTCATGACAACGCGCGACCACATGCTGGAAGGGTAACCCAGGACACATTGGCGGAACTTGGATCTGCGGTTTTACCCCATCCTCCATATTCGCCAGGTCTTGCGCTACGGATTACCACCCGCTCCTTTTCCTGGCTCACTTCGCAAAGGGTAAAAAGTACGACAACTGTCAACAGTTGAAAGCGGACATGGGCACTTCTTCGACTCGAAGCCTGCCGAATTTTGAAGGAGGGGCACTTGTTCCCTTGTAGACCGATGGCGGCCTGTTGTAGGTACTTGTGGGAATTATTATTCGGAATAAAGTTCAATTCAAAGAAAAATACGAGTTTTTGAAATTGAGGGTCGAATCCGCCATTACTTTCGTTGCGACCTAATACTTCGTTAGAAAAACTCAATTCCACAGATTATTTCTGAAAACGCGGTCGTACACGAGATTGTAAGTCATCCCAATAATTTGTGGAATTTTGAAGCTTCAATATTTGAGCCCTAGACTTTTGTACAAATTCATGAAGGAGCTGGTATATCACTAACAAACTTTTCTTCAAGATTGCGGCATCACTTCCACGACACGATGTCACTGTGGAAGTGGATGAATTGAAGTAAGTGATCTATCTTGACAGAGCGTTCTTATTTGGTGGATTCCTTCACAAAAAAGTAGTAGTTGAGCACATCGTATGGTCGCTGTATGGCCGCATCAGGTGCCTGATAAGCTCCCATTTTCGTTAGTCGTTTGGACGTAAAATTTTGAGTGGCTGAAAGACTTGGGCAACGGTGAGTATGAGTAGTGACTTAAAGGCACATTCCACGATTGTATAAATGTAGATTTTTCCGTGCGAACATGGGAGCAGTTGTTGCAATTGCTCACATGTTTTGGAAAAGCAAGGAAAAAACTGTTAGAAAGGCTTATAATACATTATGGCACCTACTACTTCGGAATGCGGAACAAAGCACCTCATTCTTCAGAGGAGTGGGCGATTGCGAAATGACGGCAGAGTGGGCCTTCGAACAAATTGTAGCTAGAGACGATTCCTAGAGTTTTGCATGTTCTGAAGCAGGAAAGAAAAACAATAGCACAGCGAAAGCAAAATATAGATCAGTTTGAAATGAGTCGTTGTTCAGGAGTAACTTGGGCATATACTCGAAAGGTATGGTTTTCCATGGCTACGTGACAACATCGATAGGGGATCGAGCTGAAGTTGTCGAACTGTTGCAGTCTGTGCCAACGATCACCATCGTTTTTCTTGCTTCCAGAGGTGAGCTTCGTATTAGTCGCAGCACCTGAAGATGCTTTAACCCTCCTCTGCATAAGTACTTTCAATCTTTTGATTTTTTGAAATTGTCTTCACTTCTTACTCACGTCTGCTCTTCCGCTATATCATGTTTCTCGGTGCTATACAAGTGGGGTGGGCACACCCAGCTTTTCACGCATGTCAAGTGACTGCCCTCACCCCCACCCCCCTAGATTGGCTACACTCCCCCTGGCTCACGAATTCCCCGATTCTCGTGACAGTATAGTAGCGGGCAGCAGTCCCACTTACATACATTTCTGTTCAAAAAATGCGGCGTGCCCACCCTACTTGTATAGCACCTGTTTCTCTTAATAAGACATGTCGTAATTGCACACTCAGTATCACGTGCGGCAAAAACTATGGCAAATCGATAACACGTGTGCTATTTGATGCTCTTGATGCTATCTGACGCCATGCGTAAAGCTCAGTCTGTAATTACGGACTCTGTCAAGGAAAGGACGATTGAATGGTTACAAGACTTCTGTCAACCAGGATTTCTCTCGCGAGGAGAGCCCAGACGAGCATACGGTTGGCTGCAGGGTTCGCGCCCAGTGGGCAGGGGGCGTGTACGCTCGTCGTCTGCGGTCTCCTCCAGAGCCATCTCTCATGTAAAAACATGTCAAGAGAAGGTGCAAGCAGTTTTGATGCAGCTTCATCGTTAAAGTAAATCGCGGAATCGTTTTCAAATTGCTCAATGAAATAAAAAAGGAGGTGGGCGCTCATGTCTTAGGGGGGACATTTATGTAAGTGAGCCACTAATACAACTCGGGACTAAGCCTTAAAGAGAAGAAAGGATTCTGGGAGAGGATGTGAGCAACCATTGTTCTACCGGGTGTTTATTCCCAGTCCTGGGCTTAGTCCTGCATTCACCTACCAGCGGTTTTTGAACGCTCTGTTTGAATGTCCCCCCAAGGACATGAGCGCCAGGAGGTGAATTCTGAAAAAGGGGTAGGTTGTAGGATGACCCTTTGCCTGACATGACCACACGAAAAGGATAAAACTATTGATTCAATTGAATTTAAAGTTATGACATGAACTTAGATTTAAACACTTACTTGCTGTTCATACTCTAGGTATACGTACAGGGTTTACTCATGTTTTACATTTTGTGACAGAAATACTCATACACATACTCATGCTTCATATTGCACCATAAGGTACTCATACACGCACGCTAGTATTTCCTCCCTTGAACACTACTCAAAAGAATTATTTCCTTCAAATGTAACTTCAAGGAGGGGTATTAAAGTGCTGAAGGCACCGAATGAAGACCGATGGGCTCAGAAAATCGGGAAGTGCTCCTGAGCAGTACAGTCTAATCTAGTACCAACAGCCTGAATTTTTGAGTGGGTGTCCCACGAGGAGTTCTGCGAAAGCTCGTAGTCATAAAACGTAGCCACAGCTAAGGGAAAAACTGCAGAAGGGTTCAGCTATGAGAGCTGGCAACAGGCCAAAAGCACCAATGGAAAGGAGGGCTCTCGCGTCTGCGCTCTGGCGTTCCGGAGTAGAGACGCAGAGGCGGCGTTTGCAGAAGAGACGGCAGACGACGCGACAAAATGCGTGCGTCGTATGCGTGCCGGTTGACAGAAATCCTGAGACCCAATTGAATAAGGAAAATCAATACTGCTCATGTATGCGAAAAATCAGTAATTTCAAGCTCGTGTGCTTACAACACGAAACATTCTAACAAACAGTGAGAAGTTGCCACCCGTGGCTTATTTGTTGCAGTAATTTGCTAGTGTTCGACATGATTGCAACTCTTGGCATGATTTTCCACTTCACAGATTCGGTTCCAAATAGAGCTGCACGAGTCATGTCGCCGCGACTAGAGACGGCAGCAAGTTCCCGCTGTGGTCACGGCGGTACCCAACTACCAAACAACACATGCCTCTGCCAACCGTACACCTCGGGCTTGCAGTGCGAAAAAGTGACGTAAGTGTTTTCTCACAATCTTTGAAATGAAGAAATGAAAAAAAAATGAAAAATACTATGAAACAATGTAGAGCGCCTCTGTTTTGGTTTCGGTGAACGTGAAACGTTTCGGTGAATCATGAAATATCTGAGAGCTTTCCTTCGGGGCCTTATTATTCGCTTTCTTGATAGTCTGCACGCATTGCACTGTTGGCGACTGCACTCGGTATATCTGTCGCAAAGTCTGACGACTGTTTTATCGTCTACTCAGAGGTGTATTGAACCTGTTCATTTCCCAACCCCACCAGCTCACTAATACCCGGATCGACATGGCAGCTCTTTTAAATTCCATTTTTACTTTCTGGAAGTTTTTATCCAATTTTTTTCATCTTTTCGCTTACCATTAGATATTTACAATATAATTCTTCCCTGATTCAGATGTCAAAATTTCGGACTAAATGCAAATGATCGTTGTGTTTGTGCACCTGGATACAATTCCAATTACTGTGAAAACCGTAAGTATCTACAAATGCTTTTGAGTGCTCAGAAGTTTCCGAGATACTTAGAGATAGTGTGAACACGCCGACGGTTCCTCTATGAGGATCGTGTTTCACTCTCCTCACATTGGGCGAATCGCCATGTATGTTTGGAAGAGGAATTATAATGAGGGGTTGCAGGCAGGTTGAATAACGGTCGAGGAATTCCTCGACCATCGCTCTCTGCTGTGCGAGAGTAGTGCCGAGAGTGAATGTACGCGCGGAGAGCACAGACGGCTCGCGGGTGGCGAGAGTGAATATCCGCGCGAGAACGTAAAGGATCAGGCGAAAATCCTCGACGTGCCGTTGAGGAATCCTCAAGCAATATTCACCCTGGTTGCAGGCATTCTTTGAAAGGGGAGTAACTTGTTCTGGTTATGGGATCCTCAGAAAAGCATTTCTTACCCTGCTTCGTTCACCCCGTTCCTCGTTCACCCCATTTTCGGAGAGTTTTATTAGGGAAAATGGATTTTGTCTCGGAGTTGAAAAGAAAAGGAGCACGGAGGCGAAGGTGGGTAGTGAACCCCTTCTGGGAGTTGTATTAGCCTTGAGGGAAGAGGTTCGTATTAGCCAAATTCGCTGAGTGCGTGGCTCATCCCGGTTCGGAACTGTCGAGTTGAAAGTTGGATTTTAGGAGCTTATCGACCGGCTGTAGAGAGCGACGTTGACTTGAACTCTCGCTCGTTGGTGATCGTGTTTTCCCTACGTCAGTCAATGTCCGAGGACTTCAAGGCTTTTCGGGCTAACCTCCCTGCCATGGCTGCTGGAATCGCCGGTCCCGAGAATGATATCAGTACCTATTTGTTTTGGGGATTCGTTTTTACAGGTTAGTCACCATCATGTTTTCAATTCCCAATTACTGTCCTCCTTTGTGTCCTACCACGGTGGGTTATTTAGACGACGGAGTTTTGACGTACTACGTTGGACACGGTACTCAGTTGAGTGACTTATCATTGATCTTCGATAAGCTTGTCTAAACTGGCGTGTCGGCACCGCAACCACTTGTTCAACAACTGATTTCTGCTCAACAATTGTGAG